GTAAACCATGATAGTCATACCAACTTAGCAGAGTTGCCATGCAGCCTAAATGATGTCACAGAGCTCCGCACAGTGCCTAGTGTCCGGTGAGGGTTGGAGAGGTACAGGTGTCCTTAATTCTGTGTTGGCAGTGAGGAGCTGTGGATGGTTTTAAGCTGAGGAACAATGTTGTGGAGGCATCTGGGTCAAAAAAAAAAAAGGGAAAAGCAGCTCCCAGCCACCTTTCAGGCTGTGTTGAAGCAGAAATCCTTTGTGTGGGATTACTATAACCAGGGCCTACGTGATAGTCCCAAAGGGCAATTTCTTTTCCTTCTCCCACATAAATATTATATGCAAGTGTTTTTAAGTCATTTCATCATGAAAAGAAGCGATTTAACATAACTATTACCCAGGATTCTTCATGAAATATGCATCAAGCAATTAGGTCTAAAAGCGAGAGGTGAGGCCTCGCACCCTGCTCGGCCAGCAGCTGTGGGCTGAGTGATGTTTTATTAAAGCTCATGATTAGGAGGCGAGGTGGGGCCTGTTATTAGGCTGGTGCACCAGGCACACTTGCTAATCCCAGTGACAAGGAGGTGCTTTTTATGATGATGATGAACACCATGACAGCCCCAGCATCCCCGCCTCTGTAGCCTTATGAGACTCATTAGACAGGTCACCCACCAGAGACACCCTTAATTGTGACTTTGCTCTGGCATGATGTCCTATCAAAGGAGACAAGGCCGGTGCAGGGGCCTGGCAGGTGGTGGGATCAAAGCAGGATCCTGGCAGAGCTCCCCAGGGTCCCAGTGCTTTCCAAGGAGAACCACCATGCTCATGCTGCCTGAAAAGGAGGCCAGCCCACCTGGCCATGGATGCAGGGGCTTGGGTTCCAGCTACACCTGCAGCCCCCTTGTTGTATACCTTGGACCAGGTTAGTCTGCCTCTCTGGCTTCATTTCCCTCTTACGTACAGGCGGTAAGAGATGATCCCCCTTAGTTCCAAAAACCTGTTTATAGCATCAGGGCATCCCTGTGCATATTCCTTATCTGCTGCAACCCTCTGTTCACTACAGAAATTTAAATTTTTCCTTTGTTACATTGGCACTTTTGTGTAGTGTTGAACATGATTAAAACCATCACTGGCGGCAACTTTTAAATCTTCAGCTATTGGTAGGAGGTTTCTTGTTTGTGGAAATTTTATGACCAATCAAGATGTATTATTACAACATTTCTCTTGCGTGTGTGTGTGTGTGTACGTGTGTACAACACACCTGACCTTTGCATTGGTGTAGGACTGGCAGATCCTCTCAAGACCTGGAACCTTTGAGGAGGGACCACCACCTGCCTTTACAGCTGGGGGATTCATTGTCAGGGCATGCGCTTCTTGATCCCTGGAACAGTTGTGTGTGGGGGGATGGTTCTTTTCCCTTCCAGCCCCTTCACTGTCTCTGACCTGCCATCCGCTCTGTGAGATGGGCATCATGGACACAGACTCAGCATGAAGGAGACCCTTGCTCAGGCTCGGACGCCTCTGACTGCTATCCTGCCTGGCTGTGCACAGAGCTTTGGGGGTTAGGTAGGGCCTGCTGGGTCTGGCTGATACTGAGGTCTGAGGTGGGGAGCACTGGCTGCAGAAAAAGCCCCCAGGGAAGGGGTCTTGCACCACTGCTTCTGATTGCTGTGTGACCAGTCAACTTCCCTATCTCCATACTCTTGGACACAAGACCTAATTAACAGGAAGTCCCCAAGTGTCACTGACCCCTCTGCAATGGTCCAGGCTGATACCCCAGTGAGAGCAGGACTGAACTAGACAGTCCTGCCCTAGAGGGGAGTTAGGTGCCCCCCCCAGCCTCTTCCTGCAGGAGACCCCTGGGGACTGGGCAGCAGACTAGGTTTACTCACAGGAATCCAGGGAACTAGGCCTGGCGGTGCCCTCAGAGGCCACCAGGGGTCCAGTAGGGCAGGAGCCCAGGAGGGCCAGCACATGGTCCTTTCTCCCTCTTCCTGGCCTAGTCAGGCCATGGACTGGCACTTTGTGGCTGGCCTTGTTCCTCTGTACAGCCTGGCTGGGAATGAAAGCTAGTGGGGGGTGTGTGAGGCACAAACAGAAGGCTGGAGAGACCTGTGGACTGCTGGGGGGCCCAGGCTCAGCCAGATAGCTGCCTTGCTTCTCAGTCAGCAGTGGAAGCACAGATGACTGTGTGGTTTTAACTATGAGTACCTGGCTTGGGAACAGAGGAGCATCAGCTTCTACCTGTGGCTCAGTCAGAACCATTGCCACCATCAGTGTCACTGGTTGATACAAGAACAGTCCAGTGTGAACATGTCCTGCCTTTATCTTTTTTGTTTTTATTTTATTTTTCAGTACTGAGGGTTGAACTTGGGGCTTTCTGCATGCTAGACAAGTGTTCTACTAGTGAGCTACATCCCCACCCAACCCCCCTTTATTTTAAATTTTGAGATGGAGTCACACTAAATTCCCCAGGCTGGCCTGAAACTTGAGATGCTCCTGCCTCTGCCTCCCAAATAGCTGTAATTACTGGCATGTGCTATCATGCCTGACTGAAAATGCTCTCTCAACCCATTTAACCATGTGAGTTACTTTCCTTAACTTCTTCAGGGATATTTTTTGTTGTATTTTGTTTGTTTTGTTTTGTTTTCGAGACAAGGTCTCACTTTGTAATTCAGGCTGGCCTTGAATTCACTCTATAGCCCAGACTAGCCTTCAAGTTGTGGCAGTCATCCTGCCTCAGGCTCCAGCCATGTGCCACTATGCCCAATTCCTTAACTTTCTTGAAAGTGAAATGGGTTTATATATGCACTTGGGCAGAGCTGTGACAGTCTGGGCTCTCATCAGCTGCTGGGACTCTCCATCTTAAGAGTCCTTTGCTTCTCTCCCCTGGCCATAGATCTGAGTAGATCACAAAGTCCCATGGTTTGGCTCCCCAAAATGTCACCCTACCCAGCACACAGGGAAATGACGCTCTTCTCCCTGCCCCCAGTCCCTGTGCTGATGCCACGTGGCCATCCTCCAGTCCAGCCCGAGGGGCCTCTGAGAGCACAGAGCTCTCCAGCCTGCCACCAATTCTTAGCCACACGGGCTCAGCATGGTGTTGCAGCACTCCCACTGCAGGCTGTTCCTTTCCAGGTGGCACCAACTTGCCCCCACTGTAGCCCACTGGGCAGGCTGGTCCTTCACGCTTTCCATTTAATGCACTCACCGTTGTCTTTCTGAGGGCCTGTACAAGTGCACATCCTGCTCCTCAGACGTAGGCAGGCGATTCTCTGGTGAAGTGACCCTTCACTGAGGAGCAGAACTTGCCATAGGCTCTGTAATTAGAACATTGCCAGTCTTAAAAAAATCTTGATTTAAATTTTAGTTCTTCACAGGAATTATTCTCTCTTGAAATGTAATTGTTCTCCAAATGATTTCCTTTAAGCCAAGGGTGACATCTCTAAATACATTATTATGAGCAGATGTGTTGCTCAGAGCCTGTACTTCATTAAGCATTTATTCTGCTCATTTGAAAATGGTATGATAGAACAGTGCTTGGGGCCCAGTCCCCACTGAAGGTGATATCTTTAAGCCTTTCAGTGGCCCTGTGGGAGCACAGGAGAGGAGCTAGAGCTCAGAAAGGTCATACACCTGTGTCCACATGGGGCTCTCAGCCTCACTGGCTTTGCTGGGGGCTCCCAGAAGCCAGGCCTAAAGCTATTCACAAGTTACCATGCCCAGGGATGGTCCCTGGAGATGGTAGCAGGTTGATCAAAACCTCCAGCTTTCTAACCAAGTGACAGACCCTTGGGCTTTGGTTTGGAAACTTGCAGCTATCTGCAGATGTAGCAACAGAGCCACGGCAAAGTCATAAAAGGCCAGGCTTGACTGAGCATGAAGGCAGGTTGATGGAGGTGGGCATGAGCCAGTGTGGGTGGAGCCTGGAACATGACATGGGAGAGATCTGCTGGGACCAAGCTGGGTCCACTGCTGGCACAGTGGTTGGACTGTAGCCTTGGCCACCCTGTGCTGCTCCCACTCTGCATGCTGATGCAGGCCAGGCTGTAGGGGCCTTGGAGTATCCAGGGGGCTCTGCTCCTACCTCTGAAGAATGCACCACTGCTTCTCCTTCCATATGCGTCAGGTAGCCCCTCCCAGGCAGAGCTGTACCCAGTTAGAGTGGCCACAGAGCCCTTGTCCTGTTCATCCATGGTGCTCTCGGGAACTGAGAGAATGGCTAAGTAACTGCAGTTTAGGAAAGCAAGTGCCTATGGAAGGTAGGACTGATCTCAGAGCAGTCACAGGAAGGAAGGCACTGTGCCTGAGGGATCCTGGAAGACAGCCTGGCAGAGGAAGAGACTGGGCCTTGGAGGAGGCAGAGGGGAATCCCTGCCTGGGGCTGGGGCATTCTGGGAGAGGGCACACATTCTGGCCACATTTCACTGTCTATAACTAGTTACATGGCTAACTGGAGCCAAGGGAGGCTGGAAAATATAGTCCTAGGCTGAGTTCCAACTATTGAAGGGGAAAACACCTTGTTGCCATCCCTGCCACACTCACACTATTTCCTCATCTCACAACCGAGCGATGACCCTTGCCTTGCCTACTTATGGCACTGGGGACATGAATATACCTTGTGCCTACCAGGCAAGGCTTGTCAGAGTTCTGCATCAGTAACAGCTACTTCCTAACTCCTGGAAGCTCTCCGGTGAGAGGACTCCTATAGTAGTGGGTACGGCAGCATTTCAGCAAGCCCTGCACTAGTCCTGTCTTGGAGAGGTGCAGCTCACAGCTGCTTTACATCTGGGATCTCTTCTCTCCCAGGCAGCCCAAGAGTCCTGGCACCTTAGTAGGAACTTGGCCCCAGTGCCAGGAGGAAAGTTCTCAGGGAACAAGCATTCTCCCAGTGCCAGGGAGCAAAAATGAATGGCACCATCACTAATGCTTCCTTCCCTTCAGCCCGCCTCACCTTTCCCTCAGCCCCAGAAACAATCAGATCCTACTGACTTCTGTTTTGTTTACAGGAGCAACCAGGGCTTTATGCACATGAAACTGGCCAAAACCAAAGAGAAATATGTTCTGGGTCAGAACAGCCCCCCATTCGACAGTGTCCCAGAAGTCATCCACTACTACACCACCAGAAAGCTACCCATCAAAGGAGCTGAGCACTTGTCCCTCCTGTATCCTGTGGCTGTGCGGACCCTGTGAATGGACCAGTCCCTCCCTGCTCTGTGACAGAGCCCAAGACTTGGAGAAGCCAGCAGGGCACCGACAAGCCCCACCATGTTGCCAGCTGTGTCCAGTTTGTGTCGTGTGTATGGTACTAGCACACCACTGCATGTCTTAGAGTGCTGTTGCCACTGACTGGGGCTGGAGAAGGCCTGGATGAAGGCTGAGGAACGGCCACCACACCACCCCAGTCCCCACCCCTACCCCTCCTAGAGTTTCTGTGAATTAAATATTTGCAATCCAAAGAGATGCCTTACAGGGTGAACAAAGGCAGCAGCTTGGGTGGGGCTGGAGCTCCTTGGGCTGCATCTCTTTGTTCTGCAGCTGTCAGGAACTCACACCTGTGTACTGCAAAGTTTTCCACCCACCTGCAGGTGCTGGGAGCCCAGGGGCCGACCGCCCCTCTGGTGTGGAGTCTGTGAGTGTGCGCGTGAGCACAGACAAGTGTAAGCATGTGGTCACACACACACAAGTAAGCCCCCATCTACTTTTAGTTGCTCAGTATAATCATTAGATCTTTAAGGAATCATTGTGCAGTCAAAAAGAGGATGCAATTATTTATGAATAGGGTGTGTAAATAAAATAGTCATTTAATATATATTCTTTTTCCTTTTTTTATATTCCGCACAGGGGCTCTGTGGGGGCCAGTGCTTGCCTGCTGGTTTCATTCTCAGAGCAAGGCACGCAAGGTGCATCTCTAGTTTGCTGCTGATGGGCCTCGAGGAGGGGAGTCATCAGAGGCACCGGTCAGGTCTCCTGGGGTGTGGCCACCAGAATGGCTGCTATGGGGACTGGGCAGAGGCGGTCAGAGGCACACGGGACCTGAGCAGCACAGCTTGGCCAGTGGTGGCAACTTTGGAAGGTACCACCAGACGCTGGAAGTTTCAGGTTCCAGCACTGGGAAGTCCAGAGCCTCAAAGTTAGCAAGATTTTCTCCTCTGACAGTGGCCACTGATGGCAAGTCTCTTTTAACCCCGAGATGCATAGCACCCAGCAGTGTAAAAGGGTTCTCCAGGCTGAATGTGGTGGTGCACACCTATAATCCCAACACTTGGGAGACTGAGGCAAGAGGATCACTGTGAGATTAAGCCAGCCTGGAACACATAGCGAGACTTGTCTTGAAAGAAAAAGAAAAAACATTTTTTCCCCCATCATCTGGTCAGTGTTACCTTGTGAGGTATTTTAACATGGGGAGAAGGGAAGCTCAGATGGAAAATAATGTATCCAAGGTAAGCTCCACAGCTAGTGTTCTCTCTGGCTCTCACTGTTACCTGCTTGGTAGGGCAGAATCCTGACCTCTCAGGGGCCAGGGACAGTGGTCACCTTGTGCTGCCTCCACCCAGATAAAACCACACCCCAACCTCCACCGTGTTCCTGGTTTTGACCAGAGCAAGGACCCTCTCACATGGTCAGGCAGATGCTAATATGGTAGGTTATCCCATCCCCTGCCTTCCCACCACACAGCAGCACGAAAGGTGTAGCTGCCTCCTACTGAATGAATTGCAAGAGGCCAGCCCAGCCAGGGCTCTAGGGGCTTCTGTAGGCTCATGTCCCCCCCAGCTGGTATAAATGGAGTGGAAGTTTGGTGACCATTTGTCCCAGCACAAGGGAAAGCCATGAGGAGCTAATTGGGACGGCACTCAATGGGAGCAGAGAGCCAGAGCTGCTTCTGTCTCAGGTGGTTGAGTCCAGAACATGAGAGATGGTTCAGGCTTACCGTTCAGGTGTGAAGATGCCCAGAGGAGGGAAAGGACTTGCCGAGGCCACCTGTTGGGTTAGGGCAGAGCAGGACTAAAAGCCACATTTGGGAAGCTGCCAGGGATTTTATCAGTCTATAGCCAAAACTATTCCCTTGGTAGCCCAACCTGTAGTACTCACTTGTCACCCCCGGGTTCCCTGTCCAGGGGCTCCAGCCCCCATGATGACCTCACTTGCTGCAGCCTGGGTCTAGTCTCCAGTGAACCCAGCCCTGATCTTTTCCCTGTTCTGCACTCCCAGGCTGTCCTTCAGAGTGATGACTGGAGTGACCCAGGCCAGACTGGGGGGTGAATAGGACCCAGGAGCTGGGCTTGTGCACACATGTGTCTGGCTCCTGGGAAGCAGGTGGGGATGGGGGTGGAGGAGGCAGCCCCTCAGGACACAGGCTGTGTGACCTCCCACTGGCAAGGTCAGGTTTGGTCTCCAGGACACTTCCTGAGAGTCCTGGTCACACTGCTCTGCCTGTGGGGGAGAGGAAGCTGGGCTGTCCGCCCTCTGGTCTTGTCTTTGCTTCTTTAAGTGTTCCTGGGACCCTCTGTCCCCTTCCTTTAGTCTCCCACTCCCCTGGAGACTGAGGCCAGCAGAGGAGCCAGCATACAGGACGGGAGCTGCTAAAAGGAATTTTTTTCTTTAATTTTATGAACCTCTCCCTCTTCTTCCTCTAATTGTGACTGTTTCCTCTGTCAGCGTGTGTTCATGTTTTCTTGAACATCTAACAATTGAAACAGCTTTTTCCCTTTCAGAAACACTCACATTCAGGTTACTGGCATTGGTTTGGTTTTTGTTTTGGCTTTTTTTTTTTTTTTCTCATCTGCTGCCAATTAATGGAGGAAAAAAATGAGCTGAATTTCTTTGAGGGGGAGAAAAAGCTCCCTGCCACACAATATCATGCCTTCAGCATTTGGTCTCAGAATACAACCTCCAGCCAGCAACAGGCCTTGTTGCTCAGAACCACAGGACTGTGTTTTGGGGCTTTTTCTTTCTTTCCCTTCTTTGCTGCATCCATTATTGACCATAATGCCCCGACCACTTCAGCAGCTCTGTCCTTGAGTACTGAGGAGTCAAGGACCCTCTTGGCATCCCTGCATGACAAGATGGCATCCAGGGGAAGAAAAGAGGCTTTGTAGGGACAGTCCACCTGCCTGTCATTCCAAGGCCCTTCAGTCCAGGGAATCCTAGAGAGACACAGCAGCCATTGGTAGGAAAGTGATTTAAAAAAAAAAAGCTCTGAGTCTTCAGGCAAGCTGGACTGCTCACCACAGGGCAGTTGTGGGCTAGTGGCCAGAGTGTGGGCAGGAGGGATCCTGATGATGCTTGCAGAAATGGCCTCCTGTCAACAGATAGAGCCCCATGCTTCTGAAGCAGTCCCAGGACCAAGGTTTTAGACTCAGAAATGGTTAGTATCACTTAACCAAGGCCTGGCAGGGACAGATGGCCAGGTCTACCATGTGTTCTCCCAAGGACAGCACAGGCAGAAACTGCAGTCGGGGTAGGCTGCATTTTGGAGTTGGCCCGTGGATAGCCCCAGAGGGTCCTGGCTGAATCGGGCAGCCAGGCAGAAAATTTTCAGAATTTGCTGCTTTACCAGCAAAGGCCAGATCTCAAAGGCACCCTCAGGACACAGGTGGCCCTCAGCCTCTCCATCCCCTCCTCAGGGCTGTTTGTATCACTGCCTCCTTCCAGCCACTTCAGGCTGAAAATGTGTCATGTATAGTTCCAACTCTGTGTGATACACTGGGTAATGATGGATGTTTAACAAGAACTTTTTAATATGAGTGTCTTGTGTAAGTGTGCCTCCTTGACACACATGTTTTACTTTAAAATACAACCATGAGATGGGCATGATGCTGCACGCCTGTAATCCCAGCTCTCAGTAGGCTGAGGCAGAGGGTTCACAAGTTCAAGGCCAACCTGGGCAACTTTGGAGACCCTATCTCAAAATTTTTAAAAAAATAGGTGTGGTCATGTAGCTCCATGGTAGACCTCTCGTGTTGTGTTGTTTTGGGGTTTTTTTGAGACAGGGTCTCACTATGTAGCTTGGGCTGGCCTTGAACTATGTAGTCCAGGCTGGCCTTGAACTCATAGCAATCTCCATACCTCAGCCTCCCAAGTAGAGGGATAACAAATGTGTGCCACCATGCCCAGCTCTCAATGGTAGAACTGCCTAATGTGCAAAGGCCTGGGTTCAATTCCCAGAACTCCAAAAGGAAAAAAGAACTGCAACTGTGCACCCCAGGACCCTCGCTGGATGCCCTTCTGTTTTCCCATGCTGAGCTTCTGCCATCACCTCCAAGGTGCATTGTTACAGGAAAGAAGGAACCCTCCTTCCTAATGAGCAGGAAAACATCCTTAATGACCTTGTTAAGTGGAAACTAATGAACTTATTCAGCAGCCATTCCCTGAGTGTGTCCTGGTCCTCAGGTCTGGTCGTTACAGAGGTGAATGGACCTGGCCCCTGGCCTCAAGAAGTTTCCAGTGTGGAAAAAGAAAAGACAAAATGATACCTGATACAGAAGAGGCAGCCCCATGAGGTTGTGAGAGCCTAGATTTGGTAGAGGTAGAGTGGGAACTCACCTGGGAGCCTAGAGGGATGGATATCGCAGGCAGTGGTAACAGTTGTGGGAATGGGGCCTGGTGTGGCCCAGCCTGCCTTGGTAGACAGCAAGGTTCCGTGTCTCTGAAGGCTGATAGCCAGAGCAGGGCAGGGGGAGGGGCATATGGGATATGCTGCCGGCCTCCTTTTCTAGCTGAGGCAGATCCTTAAGAGGAAGGCAGGGCACAACTTCTGGCCCATCGTCTCCCATTGTCTTGACCCCATCATCATCTGGAAGGCAACATTGTATAGCCTTGTTCTCCCTGTGGCAAGAGGGTCTGGGAGGACCAAGAGCCCCAGACCCCCCTCTCACCTATGAACCAGACCAGAGGTTCATCAGGGCCACCCTCATGTCCGGGAGCTCGTACTGGAGTGTCCAACAACTGCCTCCCCCCAGAGGAACTGGCCTGCCTCTGCCATCCCGCCTTCCCTCCATCCAACCCGGGGCAGCGACCTGACCCCCAGAAGGTCTCCAGAACTCAGGCTTTGCCTCTCCCTCCCTCCCCACATCCTAGTGACCCAGAGCCCACACCTCCGACTCCCAAGTCCCTCAGGGATCAACTCTTGTGAGAGAGAGAGTGAGAGAGAGAGAGGAATGAATCTGCATTCAGTGAGGGCAAAGCTGCAGCACAGGCCTGGTGACAGAAACTTCCAGAGCACAGGAAGAACTCAAGGTCCATGCCAGTGTTCTTGGACCAGGAATTTCCTAAAAGGAAGGAGAAAGAGTCACCTCTACACTCTTATGTGTGGGGAAATATATATATATATATTTAAGTTCACTTTGACAAACACTGAACAAAGATGGCCGAGGAGCTGTGCCCTGGACTCCTCTTACGGATTTGCCTCCCCTAGAAAAGGAGGCCAGCAGCATCTCCCCAAGTCTTTAGTAAGACCAGGAGCGTGTATCTGTGAACAGGAAATGCTGCCTTTGAGTGCACGAAGTGGTGGATGGCCAGGTGCTTTCATCTCAGAGACGCTGCAGGCTGGGCGAAAAACAGCCCCAGAGAGGGGCAGACTTACTCAAAGCCACACAGCAAGTTCACTTTCACACACTTCAGTGTGCTGAGCAAGCATGGACAGCTCCAAGAGTTACCTTGGCCAGTTGGCATGGGGAAAGACAGGTAGGGCTAAGGGGTTTTCAGAGTTTGAGCCAATTTCCTCTCTGGCTCCCTTCTTGGGGAGAATGTCTCAGCCCTGCTGTGGCTTTAAGGGACAGGTTGCCAAGCAGCCTTGGTTGGACCAAGCCA